GGAATCCAACACCCTCTTCTGACCTCCTCAGCAGTGCATGACACAGGTGCACTCAAATACATGCTGGCAATATACTCAAACACATAAAATAAAAATAATAAAATATTTTTTAAAGCTAAAAAATAAAAAGATAAAAATAGAGGCTCCCAAACTATACAACTGTTAAGAAAATCTAAAGTACCAGGGGTGGATTGCGCCTGTATGAGCTCTTGGTCAGAGAGAGAGCCTAGAGGTCTTCAAATTCACAAAGACTATTGCCACTAATGTTGGTTATACACTAGAAAGGTCAGTAAGGCCACATTGCTGAAGACACTGCATGATGTGAGCACAGGAGGAAAAGAAGAGATGGAACTGAGACTAAGCCAAAAACTCCATGTCACTGGATGGATAACGTTCACAGTACCACAAGTCGCTATGCAGATGGTTGGGGAAGAAAGGATCCCCTATGAGTCTAAATGGACCCCACATGCTGCACACTATGGACCCATGCTATGGTACCTAACAAAGACCTACGGAGCCAAGCAATGCCTGCAAGTGCAATAATGGCTCGACTAACATACATACAACTGACAAATTTCTAATTGGATAAGGCCCACTCCTAGGGGTGGAGCACACATCTGGTGCTGTAGACCAGGCCAACCCCCTGTGTCGAGAAAGGCTACAGGCTGTAAGTGGGAAAGCCATTACAAGTATACTGTTTAATATATAAAGTACACCTACTGGGATATCCTCTAGGCATTTGTATTTACATTCACGTTTGTTTAGATGTGTCTACTTCCTTCCATTTGTCTTTATAGTAGAAGAAACACCACTGAGATAGATCAATGGCCATGGCTCAAAGACAAATACTGGGGAGGCCCAAGAAGTCACTATCATGCCATGATACAAGAGAGATTTCCCTACATCTGTCACCCCTCCAAGGTTCAGGGACCTTAGCAGAAGATTGACAGAAATATAGTAAGAGTCGGAGGAAGGGGTGGAGTGTGTCCCAAGGGGTACTTGTTCCTCCAAGGGGTGGGGCCTGCTGTGGAGAATTGGCTGCAGAGGGTTGGCTATAGAGAGGGAGCTGCAGAGAGTTAGCCACAGAGAGGAGCATTGGTGTGATTTTGGCAGCAGCAGCGTGGAAAAAAATGGCTCCAGTGTCTCACCCTCATGGACATTTACAGACCTGGGGTAAGACCACAGGCCCACGAGGCATGGACGAAAGCTAACAGAGACTGTGGGCAGGGCTCAGAAACGATCTGGAATGGCGGGCCGCTGAGCCACAGAGCAGAAGGGGGCACCAGGTGTTCACCTTTGTAAGTTACTCTATTCCCCTACCCAGGATATAAACTATGAAAAATTCACATAAAGATGTGTTATATGGTTTGTCTAATAGTGCCAGGAACAAGGGACCCCAAGAGAACTTGGGTGACAGGAGATTACCCTGAGTCCCACAAGAGACTTTGGACTGTGGACTTTTGAGTAGTATTGAGACTGATAATGACTGTGTGGACTTTTAAGGATAAACTAAGTGCATTTTGCATTTTATATGGTCATGATCCTATGAGGGCCAGGGGGTGGAATGTGGTGGTTTGAATGAGAATGTCCCCCACAGTCTCCAAGTATTCAGACATTTTGTCCCTAGTTGGTGGTGCTGTCTTAGAAGGTGTGGCCTTGCTGAAGGAAGCATGTCACTGGGGGCAGGCTTAGAGAGCTCTTAAAGCCTTACCAGCTCTCGAGTTGCTCTCTTGCTTCCTGTGCCTGCTTGAAGATGTGAGAGCTTAGCTTCTGCTCCTCCTCCAGTCACCTCTGCCACCATGCCTCCCCACCAGGATGGACTCTTGCCCCTTTGGAACCGTAAGCTAAATAACTCTTCCTTTTATAAGTTTCTTTGGTCAGTGATTCTATCACAGCAACCGAAAAGTAACTAAAACAGTAATTAGGAGACAGGCATTATCAAGGGGGAAATGGGGAAAAATGGGTGTACTTTAACTGGGGGCGGGGGGGAAGGAGGGTTCCACAGGGAAGAGCAAGGAAAAGGAGATAAATAATGCTTAGTAATATGAAAAGCCAAAAAGAAATGCATTATTTAATAGCCTAGTGAAAAATGCACATACAATGTACACGTGAGGCCAGGTACAGTTGAAGACTACACCACAAAGATCACAGTTCCAGACAAGGGAAACCTTGATTCTTAGGGTGGTCCAAGAGACCCTCCTCTTCCTTGATGTTCTCTGAGCCTTAGGTTTGGAAGTTCTACTGTAGGGGCTGGAGAGATGGCTCAGGGGTTAAGAGCACTAACTGCTCTTGCAGAGGACCCAGGTTTGATTCCTAGCACCCACATGGAAGCTACGAACCATCCTTAACTCCAGTTCCAGAGGTATCCAATACCCTCTTCTGACCTCCGTGGCATTGCATGACATGGGTGCACTCACATACATGCAGGCAATATACTCATA